TCCTTTTCCTCAATGGGTTTAGTACCAACCCCCTCAGTCTGTGTCTGTGCCAGATGTTGGTTTGATTGTTCTCCTTCATGGTCTCTTGCCTGTCATTAAACTGAGTGAAGAGCTCCCCCGAGGCCTGTTAACCGCCATTTCCTTTAAAAACAACAACAAAATAATTAAAAAAAAAACTTGAACAGTCCAAATGTTGAAAGTATTTCCAATGTGCGACAATGTGCTGCTTTATGCTGGTTCGGTTATGGATATTGTTTCATTTTTCCTGGAGTGGGGGAGTCACATTTTGAGATCATTTCTTATTTTACTGCATCTTTTTATTTTTTTATTTTCAGGCATTTATTAAGTCCATTACAAGGCTAACATCAATGACACACATAACAATTATTCACACACAATGCCTTTGTACGTCATCAGATTCATATTGTACATTTTATTAATGGCCATTTATCAAAAAGACATTCCCTACTTATACAAGCCATGTATTTATTTGAAAAGAAAAAACAATATGGTTTCAAGTATTGAATTTAAAATATAAAAAATGTCTCAATTTCTACACACGGTACGAACAACATCAAGGGCGCACAAGCTGTTCTGCGCTCTATAAAACCGTCCCCCTAATTAAATTTCCTACCACATCTGGCTTCTCGTTGGCCAAGGAAGTTAAAAAGAGTGTGTTTAGGGGAACTTTCCACTTTGTTGTTGACGTGTTAAAGATATTCAAAACAATTCTCACCATAACTTCCTGTGGGATACAGCATCCTCTCATAACCCGTGTATTTCTGGCTTTCTACAGACCTTCCTAATGACTGCCCACCAGATTTTTTTCCTTTTCTGTTCCCTTTTTTTGTGGGCGGCCGTAAGCTTTGTCATTGATACTGCAGCAGAACCTGCCAGACGCTCCCGGCTCCGGTTCTCCAGGGACCCCCTTCCCTCCAGCTGGCCTCCAGCAGCATGGTGCCACAGGGGGGGGCAGCGGTGGGCTGGTCACTGCTGGAGGCCCCCAAGGTTGGAGCTGAACGGGTTTCTAATCAACCGGCATGTTTTTTATAACGACTATTAAGGACTCCTTTTAAAATGAGGGCAATGGTGACTTGAGTAAAACCTAATGACATGGCGAGCTTAGCATAACACAGAAACAGTGTCTGTCTTATGCTAAGCTAGGGTAACCAGATCACCTTTGCAGCTCCATAGTTGACATTATGACATTCTTTAGATTATAAATACATTGATATGAACTTTTCACCAGTCCCCCCCTTTTCAGGCATTTCCCAATATATAGTCTTTACCTCGGATGACATAACATTCTTTTTTTCAATGTCTGCATGACTAATTCTGTGTTCACTCGTGATGAGAGTGGTTTGTATACGTGTGATGCTAAATTAATTAAATGTAGGGGGGAATAGAGTTGGTTGTCATATTCATTATATCTCGCCACCGGAAGGCGCTTTTTCTCAAATGTTATGTAATTGTCCGAAATTGGCAGCTCAAGTCGAGGTTTAAAGAATTTGTCTTTTTCATATGAAACAGAAAATGTTCCGCTCCGCAGTATTTTTATTCTAGTCTTTTACACGATGGGTTTATAACAAAACGTTTTCTTCCCCTAAAAGGGTGAAGGGAAAACTACAGTTTTGATTGTTTTTAGCTAGCTGACTAGTTGCTGGCCTTGATGTTAGCAAGAAATGGCGGGCACACAGAGGTGGGGGGGGGGGGGGCAGACCCCATTGGCGACTGTGGGTGAGTGGGGAGCACGGTCGTCCTCCAATCAGAGGGTTGTCGGTTCGATCCCAGGCCCCGCTAACCCGCATGTCGATGTGTCCTTGGGCAAGACACTTAACCCAACATTGCTCCTGTAGCTGCGACTACAGTGTGTGAATGTTAGTTACTGATAGTTACTGTGTGTGGTTCTCCTGTCATCACTGTGTGAATGGGTGTGAATGGGTGAATGATGTCATGTAGTGTTAAAGCGCTTTGAGTGGTCGGAAGACTAAAAAAGCGCTTTAAAAGTAGAGACTATTTACCATTTACATGTGCCATCGCTGTAACTCAGATAGTGAAGTTAAGCCTAACGATAGTTGAGTAGGTTATTATTGTGAGGCATATTTGTTTTGTTCCCAATGGTGTTATTTATGTTGGCCTAAAGATCTGTTTCCTGTCCATGTTCTTCGCTCATTTTTTGTTATGAAGTATTAAATGATGTATTTGTGAACTTTTCAATGCAATCCACTTTCAACAGTAGTTCTCCCTTCTTTGCTTCTTTTTAAGATTTTTCCCATTGGAACAACATTGTGTCATAACATTGTCTCAGGTTTACTTCACACACACAGCGTTTTTCCCTGCAGGCCGGCTCCAAATGTGGACATTTGAATGCTTAGTGATTTGGATTATTTCTAAGAACTTAAGGGATAATCGTCACTGAAAAAAATCTCTATTGTACTGATTGAAACCAAGCTCCCTTAAGACCTGAAGGGCTGTGGTCCTTGTTTGGAAACAAAGAAACACCTCGTGCTGAGTCCATAAAATGCAGCAACATTATTTAGTTGCCATTATGAGTGTATAAACCTTTAGTGCTGCTGTTTCAGATTTTGCAGATGTTCTGCCAGCCCCTTGAGTTATACCAAGCAATTGATTCATTGTTCTCAGTTTTGTACTACAAATGTGATGGAAAAAACGCCGTTAAAAAAGAGACAGAAAAGCTTGAGCGATGCAAAAAACGAATGCTTCATTCTCACATACATTTATGGAGATAATTTTTGTGGTGCAAAGTAATTTAAGTATTGTGGATTCATTGAATGTCTTCAAAGAAACACGCAAGTCAATGGTTATGAGGACATGAATATCCACAGCAAAACCTTTGAGGAATCAGGAATCAGGAACATTTATTGCCAAAATATGTCAGACGTTGGTGCATAACATCAGACAGTGACAATGGACAATAAGACAACATAGTATGTTTTGCACTTTTCCTCTGACATCATGTATCTTCTGAAGTACCTTTTTCAATTGAAGTAGTGCAGTTAGCTTAAGTTAAAATATAATATATTGCACATGAAATTATCCGAGAATGTTGGCTTATTATTATGGAGGGTTATCTATTGTATTTCTCTTTATAATGGTTTCCTTGTTGCATGGTATTTATTTCCAGCATTTGTATAAATTATCGCACAAATTTAAAACGGAGGAAAAGGATGATTTGGAATCATACAAAAATGGCCATCAATAAATTTGGGTAATGTGAAACAAAGCAGTATGAAAAAAGTCATCTTACATAAAATCCATTTTTTATTGATTATGTTTCAATTTCATGTGTAGATGGTGGCGCATGGAGTAGAGAGTGTGCGCTTAACCCTCGCTGCCGGGAACCGCCGGGTGGCGGTTTGAGCCCTGGATTCTCCATGTCCCATGTTGAAGTGTCCCTGAGCAAGACCCCCTAATTGCACCCTGGGGAAAAATGTATTTTGGATTTGAAGCTTTGGATGCTGTAACTCATTTTTAAGCGGTTGGTCCATCCATCCATCTATCCTGCACACAGGGTCGCGGGGGGGCTGGAGTCCATCCCAGCCAACTTCGGGCAAGAGACAGGTTTCACCCTGGACTGGTCGCCAGCCAATCACAGGTCTACACAGAGACAAACAACCATTCACACTCACACACCCACGGGCAATTTAGAGTCACCAATCAACCTGATCCCCAGAGCATGTATTTGGACTGTGGGAGGAACCCAGAGAACCCAGACAGAACCACGCAGACACGGGGAGAACATGCAGACTCCACACAGAAAGGCCACTGGGCGGAGTGGAACCCAGGACCTTCTTGCTGCGAGGCGACGGTGCTAACCACCACACCACTGTGCCGCCCTAAAGCGGTTGGTGTTATTGTCTAAATCACAAATGTTTAGTCAATCACATTGGACAATTACAGTACTACTGTGTCTCAGTGGAGAGGAGGGTTTTCCTTCCAATCAGAAGATCGGCGGTTCGATCCCAGGCCCCGCTAACCAGCGTGTCAATGTGTCCTTGAGCAAGACAGTTAACCCCAACATTGTTCCTGAGGGTGTGAGTGTTGGATATTTTATTTTATTCCTCGTGCACTGTTGTCTTGTCGTCCATTGTCGTACTGCCTTCTGTTCCGCACCAACTGCCAAGTCAAATTCCTTGTATGTCTGACATATTATGACAATACATGTTTCCTGATTCCTGATACTGATGGCCAGGTGGCTCTGTGTGTGGTGGCTCAGTGTGTTGATGGCTGAATGATGAAGTGTTAATGTGCTTCGAGTGGTCTGAGGACTATAAAAGAGATGTACAAGTACTCTATTTACCTAAATTCTCATCTGTCAGTCAAACTCTAACTGTGGTAACGATACAATATTTCTCTGTCAATGCAGCTTACGCTTGTGGACAGTAGATGGGGCTCTGCTCTTTGCTCAGTAATGGGGGCCAGCACTGTTCATGCTAAGCACCACTCTTTCTGTCCATTACCAACTCCCAGCTGTTGCTGCCAAGTTTTGCAATTCACTTCCTGCATACTCAAGGATTTCAAACCGTAAAACAGGATTTCCAGAGGAGCAAAGCACACAAAGTGTGGTTGTGAATATGCTGCTTATTTCTACTCCAGGATCTTAGGGTAAAATGGCCTCTGTGGAATGGAAAGAGCAAGCACCTTGAACGTATCAGGCGAGTGCACGCCCATGTGTGGACTCAGGGAAGCATCAGGCCTGTTAAGTTGAGGAATGACCATCACTGACTGAAGAAGTATGCTCTTCTATAATGATTATTTTCATATCTCTCAGGGCAAGGACATCATCTTCTTTGGTGTATTTTTTGGATCGTAGCGGTGTGCAGAACTATTGCCAAAGCAATAAACTCTATCTTATCTTAAAAGCAATGGACCAAGCCAGTAGGAAAGAGATCAGTTGTGCTGCAGAAAGTGCTGGTTGACGTCACATTATCACACAATACGTTCGCAGTAGAAAGAAAAAGATCAGATGACAGTGTCAGTTTAGTTTGTAAATAATTTAATAATTATGTAATATTCAAATTCACGTGTTATGATGGAGACTGAAGCCAATGTCAATGCTCTCTCCACTCACTAGAGTAGTACTTTTATGTATCGTGTGACTTATTTTAAAGGGTCAGACACAGTATCATTAACTAAGTAACTGACCGGCAGCGGGAGACCAGAATCCTTGAATTCTGAGCGTTGACATGGTTGTTTTTGAGGTGGCTTTGAACAGAGCGCAGAGAGCGGCTTCAGATTATGTCGGTCTACCTATTGCCCCCCTACAGCAGCACTTTGCTTCACGCTCCAGGCTCCATCTACTGTAGCATACGCTGACTATTGAAATAATCCAAAACATTCGCAATATAAAATGGCTGACTGAGTAGTAAAACATCATCTCATTAAATATTAAATATATAGATAAACAATATCATGAACTTCAAGTTTACTAAAAATATAATTTTGATAATGTGCAATAATACACACAAGGACTGTGCATATATGTCTATATTTATTACATTCATATAAATTGCTATTTAACTAACCACATAAAACAGACCTATTATATATTCAGAGATGTATCTTTCTAGTGATTGTAGCCCAGCAACTGTGATGAAAGCAGAAATTAACAAAACAAAAAATATGCAAAAAGGGTCATTTTTAAATGACTAATTTTACTTATTGCAAAGATTTTACTACAAATAGCATAATTTTGAATGTTGCTTTAATCTAGAAACCTTTTCATTTCTAGTCTACTGTGTGAACACTGGAACGAATAACTAAGATTTCATATTAAAACAGGAAAATGTGAAGACTTTTGCAAAGTAGGGCGAATGCGTTTACGTGCATATTAATGGGGGCAAATCATCAACGATGCAGGTCTTGAAACATTGGCACGTATCATGTGTATTTCCATTAAATCTAGCATGGTAAAATAGTAAAACAGTATCACAATTAAACAGTTTTGAATATAAATATTGACTGCCAACGGACAGTTTCTGATGTTTGAAAAGGAATTTCAATTGACTTCCGTTCACGATGAACTGTTAAAACAACGGCCGTGGTCACATGATGCTCAGCCTCCTCATGAGTCCTGCATCATTACTGGCTTCTGCAATTAGAGAGGGACAGACATAAACAAATGATTCGCTCTAATTAGTGATTACATATTCAATCATTTCATACCTTGATTGGGTTAACTGATTCATTAGTGTTGAAATCACTAATAGCAACTGAGACATGCACAAAAGTACAATAGCACAAGTAGGTCTAAATAAATAATCGCAATCCAAGGGAAACAAAAGCTCCTGTTTGATGTCATCTATAGCGTTTCAGGACTGCTGCGGATTGGAGCCCTGCTTGGATTTATTTTTGCATATTGCATGCACACTAATAAAGGTTAATGCATTGCAAAACATGTCTGGTACGTAGTTAAAGATGAATTATATATATTTATACTTCTCTTTATAACGGGATGCACCTAAGATGTATGCGGAATGACTGTCTGTCCAATATTGGTGGTTAACTTGAAATGCCTTTCAGATTGGCAGTTAAAGCAGTAACTTATAATGCTTATAATAGATCACAGTAAACAGACATATACTGTGTTGCTTTCGCTAATGTAATCAACTCTTTTGATGGTTCTCAGTTCTTTTTGCAGAATCTATAAACTGATTTATTATAATTTGTGTCAAACAAAAGACTTGTGTACAGTCTTTATCTAATATAACGAATCAAAGAAACGATACAATGTAATAGTAGCTGGATTGAAAATCAGAATATACTGTAGTTAGTTGGGGCTTTGATCATACATTATCAATAATGCAACAATCACCGATGCACAGACTTTGTTTGTTTGATTGAAACAGAAGAAGCTAAATCTAAAGCTAAATACAATTATTTAAAACCACCACAAAACTTGATAGGAAATCAACCACCAGATGATCCACCAGGAGAAGAAGTCAAGGCCCAATGAAGAGTTCCTTTCCAACAATAGATCCATTTGGAGGAAAACCAGAAAACTTAGCATAGCTTAGCACAGTTAGTCTAGCTATGTCTGTGTCAAATGTTTGTGGTTATTATTTCTCTGCAGAAGTAGTCGCTTTCTGGACATCCAGATGTGTTAGGTAGTGAGCTTGGTAGGCGTGAGGTGTTGCTAGGCAGAGGTATCTAAAGGTAAACCAGAGGTTTCCCACTGTTTCCAGGGGGACAATGTATTGTGACAGCCCATTATTCCAACATCCAAAAGTCCCAAAAAATCTTTTGAATTGGACCAAAAGCCTGGCTGTTCAACAAAAAGTCGTCAGAAGGTTTATTGCTCCAAAAATACACGCTCTCCCTGCAACAATTAGAAGCGTGTGGCTAGTCATTATGCAGAATGACATAATCATAACTTCTGTGTTTGTTCCTACTATGCAAAGTCATGAGGCGCCTTACTCGGCCTCTCCTGTGCGCAGAGATGAGTGGATCTCAAACCATTGACTTTCTTGGGAGAGCGGATATCCAGATTTTTACATTTTTGGGGTTGTTGTTTGGGGTTGTTGGTTTTTCTCCAATGGTAGCTATGTGATGCTGGAAGTGAACTCTGCACGCAGCGCCTGACAGTGGGGTCGTACCGCACAGGGGGCCTTGGTCTGGGCCTTGGCCACTGGGTTCCTCTGTGTCAGGGAGCCCCTGTAGAAGGAGTTTCTCACAAACCTGTCCACCTGGCCTGCAAACACACAGCAGCTGCATTGCACATCCATGTTCTACTGGCTCTCTTGTTTAAGAACGTCAGATTGTGCTTTGAGATTTGTAATTTTGTTAGGAAATAAAATTACAGATGGTACTAGCTACGACCTCATTGGAAAAGTGAATTAGAAGCCGTCAAGTTATCTCTTAACCGCGATTCCTGAGTCCAAATTTCTCCATTAGATGTTCCCGGTGACAAACACCTACTGTGAACTTAACAAACATTGCATAACCACTATATTGCCAGACACATTTCCCCATTTATAGCTCCATACGCCTGTGGGAACCATGCCTGCAGAGAAATCCAGTATCTGCAGCTGGGAAAATGAGAGCTGCATTGCAGTAGGACACAGTGTTCTGAGTTTAACACGGTTAAGATGTTTTGAGTCAGGCTGAAGGCTCGGGGGATGACGTCCCAGGGCAGAAGTGTTGGTTCTTACTTGTGGGAAAGTTGTAGGAGAGTCTTCTTGCTTGGATCGGTATTGCAGACTAAAAGAAATAAAAAAAATATCGGAAATACTCTGTTAAGTCTGTGCTACTATCAGTAAAAAGGTATGGTGCCGTTTCCTGACTGATAACTTTACATTTATTTTAACTTTCCAGCACACATACATTCTCAAAGACATATTCCACAAGGGCTCTAGATAGAAGTGCAAAGATGCAATAACTATAAATAAAACCATAAGAATTGGATTAAGATCAAGTGCAAGAGTATTTGCTCCTTTGAAGACAAATGAGTTCTCTCTCACAGCCACTCAGTTGCTGCTTGCCTTAATGGAAAATGCACAAATGTCTTAAAATGTTAATGTCAGATATGCCGGCCTACTAGACAAATGCACATGTTAGTGCTCAAGATTAGATCACTGTCTATCGGGATTGCAAAGTGCAGCTCCCGTGAATCAGCACTGAGTCAGCTTGATTCTCTAGAAAGTCCTTTCCCACGAAGCGTTTGGCCTGTGGCTCATCTCAAACCACCCCATTTAAAGTCAACCAGTTGGGTTAAAGCTGCCTTTGGAAAAGTATCAAAAGTATTTTTGTTCATATTAACCAACTCTGACTCTAAAACTCTGGCATGCACTCAAAGGAAACAAACGTCATCACCTTTCTTTTCTTATCCACAGGCAAGCCGGCAGCGTTCAGGGCAGCAATCCTGTTCTCTATGTAGGAGACCTTTGAAAGAAAAAGAGTACCAGTGACCCCGCACACATCCGTCTGTCCCTCAGAAGCAGATCTAATGGGGTTTGATCAGCGTCTGCTTCCAGCTTACCTCACTCTGAGCGCTCTGCACGCTGGCTGCTGCTTGAGCTACCTTGTCCTCCAGCTCGACCAGTAAGGCCGTGGAGCCTTTGAAGGCTGCCTTTGACCCGTCCTCCAGGGGGGGGCACTTCCTCTCCAGGCTGTCAGAGGAATGGTTGGTCTACAAGACGAATGTGAGGAAAAAATTCAATGAAGTACAAATGAATTTTTCACATTAAAACATAAACAAGGTTTTTGGGGGAGGATTTTGGGTATTTTATGTGTTTAAAATGATTTTCATTAGAGAGGGGACAGAATGACATGCAACGAGGGGCTCAGGGTCAGTGCTAATACGTGTTTGGCCAGCAGTGAACTCCGAACAAACTTATTTTGAACGTTCAGTAATAGCAACTATAATTCAAGCCATTGATTTAGACATATTTACAAGTGAAGATTTTTTTAAATGTCCTTCGACAGCTTGAAAAATTGAACACAATGGAAAAATGACAGAAAATGTATTTTTTAAACACGATTCTGTTTTATAGTAACTGTAAGAATGATAAAATGCATTGGTGCATATATATAGATATCATTTATAGACATCTATCTCTTTGGATAGTATAGTATTGGCATTTTATGGGTAACAAACCTGTTAACAATTTAGTTTTTTGCCTTTTTGAATTTGTGCTTTCTGTCAAGACGAATGTGAGGAAAAAATAAAATAAAATACAAAATCCAGACAGTTATAGTAATAGTTATAAGAGCTTTAATTTTTAACAGAGAAATAATGCGTTCCTCAAACTAAAAGGGGTGTCGGATCAGAAGGATGCTTTTTGAAAGTTAATAACACATAACTGGGTTATTCGGGTGGGAGGTCTAGTTTTTGCTCAATTGGTGAATGAAAAGTCAGAAGTCACTTCATCTGAAAAGAGAAACTTCAAAATCAGCCGAATCAATGGTAAATACCAATGGTATTGGTATTTGCTCTTTAAATAGCTTCTCTTGAAATGTGTTGACTGGCAGCTATGTAGGTTGGAACTGAACTCCTGAATGCACCGAGGGCCAAACGGTGGCGTTATGGTCCTGAGCCGCTGGGTTCCTCTGTGTCAGGCATGTTCCATGTTCCCAGTGGCAAACACCTACTGTGAGCGTAACAAACAAATTCTTTCATAAATAGTACAATACGCTTATAGAATCCTACTTCTCAATAACGTTGTTATTCACTATATAAGCAGCATTTCTAAAGCGTTGTTGGATGATAAGCACAACAGACGGGCTGCTGTGTGTCAGTTTGTTTCCTGTTTTATTTTGTACTTCCCTGCCTCTTGTGTCCCTAGTTCACTTCACTTCCTGCCCTGGTGTGATTTCCCCTTCCTCTGTGATTGTCTGTTGTGTCTCTGATTGTTTCCTGCTGTGTCCAATCAGTGTATTTAAACCATGTGTGTCCCTTGTGTTCTTCGGTTCGTTAATCATTGTGAGGCTGCCTTTCCTGTGTATCCCTGCGTTTTCTGTAGCAAAAAAAGTATTTTGGTTTTGAAAATGCGCGCGTCTGCGATTGGGTTCTGCATCCACCACCCCCACCTGACACTGTGAGGTCACAGGTTGACCTTCGATCCCTTCAGTCCAACTGGAAGCTAAAGAGCAAAATCATGCCAAGTGAATCAGGTAATAACTGAGTGTTCTCCTGCTTCAATTCTTACGAGTGCAGTTTTAACAGACCTGCCGTAATGTGATGTTAAAAAACACAATCATTACTCAGGGGCACTGTAAGCTTTTAAAATAAATAAATGGCAGAGAAAACCCATCAGGCAGCTTAGCAGAGCAGCTAAGAAGGAGTCATGTTTTTCCAGCAGATTCTGTGTTTCAAAGAAGCTGGGGGAAGCTCAGTGACTTGATTTATGACGAGTGTGTGAATCAAATGGATTCCTGCAGAGATGGCGTTTTATGAGCTGGGGATCTTTTTCTCCAGGAACAGAATGTGCAACAATCCAGATGTGCGGTGTGATTGTTTCTGATGAACGATCAAACGCTTTTTATTGTGAAAACAATTTTCCTCTGCCCATGATTCTACCACTTCGCCCGGTGGCCTTTCTGTGTGGAGTCTGCATGTTCTCCCCGTGTCTGCGTGGGTTCTCTCCGGGTTCTCCGGCTTCCTCCCACGGTCCAAAGACATGCGCTGGGGATCAGGTTGATTGGGGACTATAAATTGCCCGTAGGTGTGTGAATGTACGTGTGAATGGTTGTTTGTCTCTGTGTAGCCCTGCGATTGGCTGGCGACCAGTCCAGGGTGAACCCTGTCTCACCCCGTCTCTTGCCCGAAGTTGGCTGGGATAGACTTCAGCCCCCCTGTGTGCATGATAAGTGGTGTGAAGATGGATGGATGATTCTACCACAGCTGTCTGTACCTTCTGGGACTCAGTCAGCTGACGATGCTCCTCCTCAAGTCTGCAGAGAACAATGCTTGTTCTGGATGTGGGTCTAGTCGGTATTCTGCTGGGCTTGGCGTCCCCCTCTTGGCTCCTCCATGCTGGGATCTCCTGGGAGGAGGGTTGCCCTCCTGGCTCGTCTTCGTCGGAGCTCAGGCCGTGGTCACTGATGTTGTCCGTCATCTCGTGCAACTTCTGTCTCAGTTGCTGCTCCTCAAAGTCCACTTCCTCACACTGAGGTGGAGGAGAGGTGCTGTTTGGAGTCGGAGCCTGGCTGGTCTGTAGGATTTAGAATGCTGGCTTGGTTGAGTGAGAACAGTTTCGAACGGAACGATTATTTGGGTAGAAATTCCGCCTGCAGCGTAGCCGGGAATCACTCGTTGCTCTTTGACCACCAAAGAAAAGTGAGGTTTGTTTGTGGCGTTAGTATAACCACCGAGAGGGAAAAGGTACACTGGGGCTTGTGGAAGGGTACGCTCGACTCCCCTGAGAGCCCTGATTCCCTGCCATAGCTTGCTTATTGTGAAAAGATGATTGATATTATTAGTTGGTTCCCCAGCAACACACCTTTCAAGTGTGAAGTAGATCTATTGGATGTTTCTCCAGACATGAAGAACACACATTCATTCATACCAACAGAATGAGATACCTGGCTATATTAGCAGATCAGCTGCTAAGGATGACAACCTTTTGGCCGCGACGAGACGTTTCTGTTATTGCCATACTGTAATCTGACCAAGGGTCTCCCTCCCCATCATGCTGTGCAATCTTAAAAAGACACTAGTGGGTCTTGAACTTGAAGACAGATGAATGGATCAAATAGAATTCAGACTTCACGCTTAGAGTCTCAGAATTCTGACTTGAATCTTGGAATTATTACTTTAAACTGTTGACTTGTTGCCCTGCTTTCTACACAATGCATGCTGACCAAGGCCCCCCCCCCCACCATGCCACTGACAGACCTGCGGTCGCAAACAGGATCTACCAGGCCTAGAAGACGAATGGATGACTACGTGGATGCATGAAAGCATGAGAACTGTCCTGTTTCTACATTCATCAGCTCGAGATTAACTCTCTGTTGTGTGCAGACTCTGCTTATAAAAAAAGCAGCCAAACATGTGCGGAATGCTGATTGATCTAAGCTGTGTTGTGCCACAAGAGCGACGTAAAGCATTACTCTCTCAAATATTGCTTTCATTTGGAGCAGAATAGCCACTAATTGGAAGCCAAGCTTTTTTATGGTTTGCTGTTTTTGTGGATTCGATCACTATGTGATGATATCGATCAGAGCTCGGCCCAATTAAAAGCAGAGACCAAATCCACATGAGGTTACATGAGGGTTCATATTTCATGTGTAGTTAATAGAACAGAATGTCTATTGTTGGTGTGTTACCTTGTACTTTTTGCCGGATGTAATGAGACCAGTGGAGGACCAGTCATAGTCCCCGTTGCTCTGATAGTGTTTCTGCCAGCTTTCAAAATCTGAGTCTTCTCCTCATCTAATTGAAGGAGGCTGCTACTGCACCACAGCTGGTCTGATGATGGTTGCGATGGTTATTGGGAAACTGATGTGCTATATTAATGGACTTACCTCATGGTATGTTGAGGTGACGTTCAGTTCCAGGTGGTTCAAAAAGGTCTCAATGGCTGACATGCGTCTGTTCAGGTCAGTAATCTGGGGGAGGACAAGGAGAGGATTTTCTTCAGATAATGGCTCATAATATCTATATTTGTAACCAATGAGGTCCCTGGGTTCAGAAACATCACATTCAAACATTCACATTCAGGAAGTTAAGCAGACAGCCACGAGGCCCTGGGTTTTTGAAGTCCTTCCTCTCTAATCCCCTAATTTTTAAGATTCCAAAAACCACAACCCCATACATAACCACATAACCGGATCCTAAAGGTGCATTCAGACTGTGCTGGGGAAAACCGGTACAGATATCTGCATGTAGAAGGACGTGTTCTATGGAGCCAAATCCAGGTCAAAGGTTTTGTTCATTTTAAACAAATGTGAATCTGAAAAATATTTTATTCCAAAAAATGTAGAACTGAGTCAAAACTATATTCAACCCCGAAAATACTTTCAAATCATTTTCAAATGGTCAAAACCTTTGACCTGGATTTCGCTCTATAGTTTTCCTCCAGGCACGTGTGAGACAGATTCATTTGAAAAGGCCCCTGTACACAATTTGTGTTTAGAGTCAGAATTCTGACTTTGATCTCAGAACTTTATACTTTTGTTCTTATAATTCTGAGTTTAAGATAATATTTATTTATTTCACTATTTTGAATTTAATCTAAGAATTAATGTCAGATGGGTCGATATCTGGATCTGAACCTAAAACCATCTGTTGCGCCCTGGTTCCTTGTGGCGAAGCCTCAGTTTCCCCACTCATTTATTCATGTTCTGGAGACACGATAACCATCATTAACAACAATGAAAAATCTACTATGTTAATAACTATTTTACTGTTAATGTATAATTAAATGACAATTTTTTAAAGATTTTATTGCATTATTAGTTTAGACATAATTCTTATATAAAATGATGTATACATATATATAACATTCTGATTGTATTGGCAAACTAATTTTTCATCAGTTTACACATAAGATGTGATGTACTAAATTAAGTATTAATAATGACCTAATGAATGTACACCTTTAAAAATTGTATGCATGTATAAACGTTGTTTGGATGGCTTTTATAAAGTAGCAGTGGATGATTATTATAGTTTGTTGAAAGATGAATGAATACTTTGTAAGGCCTCCATTAAGATTACACCCCTAATGGACCAGAAACCGATTAATAACCAATGACCACACTTAACATGGCTCTCTAAATATGTTCATAAATGCTCTATTGATTATTAATTACGTATTCTAAAAAGCTCATCAGCTCAAATTGTATGTAAGCCAAACAAATATTGTTTTTTAGGCTTTGGTAATCATTAACAAATCCTTACTATATAGTATCTAAATCTGTCAAAATGCGCACAACAATGAACTGTTTAAAAAAATAATTATATATATTATATATATATATATATTTGTATTGTATGTAATATGTATTGTATGTTAAAAATACAATTACTGTTTCAGTCAGTATTAATTTACAATTTATTTCTGATGTTTAAAAAACATTCTTTAAATGAATTAATCTCTTCCATGCTAACAAACATAATCAAGTTAGAAACGTCACTTTTTTCATACTCATGCACATCGTGACTCACGGCTTTTAGCACTCTAAATGAGAATCCAGCAGACTATACGCGGTGCGTCTCTGGTGTCTTAGGGACCCCGATCCGAAGCCAATGTGAAACACCGCGGCTGCTTTTCGTGTCTGACAGGGACGTGTTTCAGCTCTCTGTTATCGGCGGTATCCGGTTTGTGTTGCCCAGCTGTGGGAAAGATTTCCCTTTACACCAAATATCGTAGGTGCAAATGAGCGCAGGGCCGATGGGAGCTTGTTTCAGCTGAGGGAAAACACATTTTCTTGGTATGTTTATGCAGAATAATATATTTACAACAACAAAAATAGCGTCCACAAATATGATTACAGAGGATGTTGAGGATTACTGCCAGTTTCACAGTGTTATGGCTGCATTCAGCTGAAGGCTGATGCGGGGAAGATGTGACCCTCAAACACCGGCTAACTGTAATGAAGAACGCAGTGTGAGCACCTTTTAGTTGACGCTGTAGGCAACGGCAACGAAGGCAGACAGCAAACTCTGTGTGCGTTCCTATCCGTGACCGTTGAGATCAAGATGTGCTGGAAACTGGAAGTGGGAACAGACAACCAGGACCAGCTGGCCTCTGGGCAGGCAGAGAGACAAATGGGGGAAAACAGCTCCTACGTGTTTTCATTTGCTTCCACCATAATCTGTGAATTATTGATTTCTCGCTCAACTGGAGTCGCTAACAGTTTCAGAACAAAATAATTCAGAGCGTGTGTGGCTGTTTTTTTGTGTTTAGGTAGAAAGATAAACGGTCTCCCCCACTCAAGCAACATTGGGGGGTCGTCACTCCCACGCAATGCATTCTGGTAAATTAAGGCGCAGCTGGCATGGCTTCACCAGCTATCTGGGTCAACACAACACACACCGGGAACGTGCTTTTCTAACAGACTACTGTTCATTTACCGCTCATTACACATCCACATAGAAGGTGTCCAATTTCCTCTTTCCAAGGTAGGGCACACAAGGACTGGCTGTAACGCATTTAACCTCCCTGTGATCAACTCAACATGTCAGCCCGATCAATCAAGTGTCAAAGAGACTGCAACATGTCATGCTGAGGTTTAGTGATGAATCAATGAAAGCCCTTTGGACTGCATATACTGTACATTGGTGAAGTGAATAGATGTCTGTGCAGTGATGGCAATAGATTATGTAAGGAGGTCGGACATTGTGAACTATGATTTTCACATTTCTAATCCCTGGAGTTTTCCTTCTCCAGGTTCTCGTGTTACACATTGGCTCCTCGTCCAGTACTCAACAGATGGATGTTCGCTTGTGCTTCAAGCAAAACTTAAAACACTTACTGTGGTGATTTTGCTTCCTCCCGGTTTCCCTTCTCTAGCGTGGTTCTTGTTGTGCTCCCCTAACCCTCGCCTGCCTGCCAGTTCTCCTGCTTGTCGGTCGGTTTGATAACACCCAACACACCACCTGTCTGCTCTGTGGCCCGTGTTCGGAGCCCGGACGTGCTCTTGCACTAATTTGTATATGTGTCAACACAAAATGTTTCCTGGCGTACTGGATGCATCATTGATCGGCTGCTTTCAGGGAATGTGGTGTGGGACATTAGTGTGACCTGTGGTGCGGGGTTGGCTGAGGTCAGGCTCTCCTGAGAGGTGTGGCTGCGGGGCCTAAGGTGAGACTGGTAGACCGGGTAGAGCTGGCAGTGGTCGTCCTCCTCGGAGTCTTCAGGGCCCGGCAGGAAGCTGCTGGCTCCCTGGGGACACCATGCACTCCCACTGCCACAGGAGGAGCAGCTGAGCCGGGACGCCGAGCGAGATGCAATCGTTTGGCTGTCGAGGTCATCTGGAAGAAATATGAGAGGAAATCAGGAAATAAGTAGAAGGAGCAGTAAGTCAACAATCTGATCTCAAAAGGAACATAACGTAACGTCATTTATTGGGGTAAATGATTCATTTTTAATGAATACACAATGTATGAAGCTGGAAAGCGGCCACGCACACTGATTGGTCACCATGAGTGTTGTAACAGTACTGTGATCAACTGGTCCCTGTGATGTGCCATGCATTACCTTTGTTAGCTAACATTTAAGCAGGTTGGAAACAAGGCCAAATCTCATGTTTAGAGAAGTACTGTACTCGTCCAATGTATTCCAGCAACATTAAAGCAGTTGGGCCATTTTAGCTACCGGTGTTCTTTAAACTCTATAGGTGAGGGAACATTGTGGTGACCTGTCTTTACCTTGCTGTGCAGCAACTCCCAGGTCCAGACCTTCACGCTGCTCCTTGAGAATCCGGTGGAAAACAGATGGCGCGTTGGCCTCAGCAAGCGTTGACTTCCTGTCACCGACATCCAGGTACAGGATGCCTTGGGCGACCGCTGCCTATGAATGAGGACAGAGAGTGGTCACAGAAAATGTTGGTAAAATGTTAGTAAAAAAAAAAAGAACTAATGATGCTGTTTCAGAAAATGTGTTGTTATTCCGAGCTGCATTATTGTGAGAGAATCCCCAACATTGGTGAACTTCCCATTTAAATGGTTAAAGTGGCAGACTCTTATTGATATTCTGTAGACAAATTAAAGTTACTATGGAGTGCCCGGTGCAAACGGTTTGAACTCTGCTGCTGCAAAGTGAGGTTTTCTAAGAGGAATCTAGTGCCACTGCCTTTTTGCAGAGGCACCGCCAAAATCAACACAAAATCAAAGTCCCTCATAGAGCTCAGAGCTTTTCGTTAATTTGCTGACAATGGAACAGGAGGGAAAAAACAACAGAAACAAGTTGAAGAAGAAACAGACAATGACAATTTGGTTTGGGGGAGGAGCTGGTTCTGGAGACATCCACCTTCTACCTGCTTTGTCTGTCCTCTCGATTCGACCAAGTAGTCGCAGCCCATTTCGAAGTCAAACGGGTCCACGGTTAACCGCCTTTTGGTCTTTTTCCTCTACGGAGGGCAGAAAGGGAAACCCATCACCAACAAAGACAAGATAGTAGAGAGGAAAGAAAGGTGATCAAGAGGAAAAGGTGTAAACCTGAGGAGAGGAACAATTCAGAAATCCTCTCTGCTGCAAAATGCTTTTTACAAGCTATTTGCTACACACATGCATTTTCTAATCCTGGCCACACAAATGGGATATTACCGAGTACACGACAAATGAAACATGCAGATCAAGCATTGAAGGCTATTCTAGTTTGGATTAGGGTGAGGGTTGTCCAAGTAGAAGTTGCTGGATTTACATTACTGTTACCTCAATGTAATGTTGTTAAATGAGAGCCACATGACCTTCTTGCAGTCAACATTTTGTTGCTTTTTCTTCCCAGCAGTCGCTGCAGAGATTCAACATATACAAATCGCAGCTGCCTCATTACGCAGAGACTGTTGTATAAACAATAGTGAACTTTGTTTTAGGACGAATTCTTTTTTTTACAACCTCTGGACTCGGACCAGAGGCTCCTTCAACTCAGCTCAGACTCTTTTATGTGCACGATTTTGTATGACAGCCTGGCATTTACCCACAATACACCACTACTGGTGCGGGTTGGACCGTGCCCAACCTTTGTTGTCCCAAGCTGTCAAGGCGTCCCAGCTGTTCATGAGGGCCGGCCTAGATAAGCCGTGCAGAAACCCCCCTGCCTCCCAACGGAGGAGACAAACAGGCCGCCCACGGCAAGACGCAAAGTTGTGTTTTTTTCCGTTTTGTTTTTTGCTGATATTAAACAAGTAAGAAGAGTCATTCTCCACGTGCAGAAGTTTGTGTCTCTCAACGTGTTAACGTCTCAACGTTAAGTAGAAGAGAGACAGCCAATGTTCTGCTGTACTGACAACAAATTGATTTCCGCTTCTTTTTTCATGACGCATATCACTGGAATGCTCTCTGCTGGCCACAGCCACTAAAACTTAACTACTTCCAAAATAGCTACAAGATGTCTATTAATTGTTAAATATTTTCGAAAAGCAAACAAAGCACATAGAAGAGAACCACACATATTAAAAAGAGTATTCGTACCCCCTTGTAGTTTTGTGAATCTGTTGCTTCAATGCCGTGCTTCTCGTCTCCATCTGTTGATATAGAAGGCCGACACGTTAGTGTTAAGCAAAAGCTTTTTATAATAACTGACTGACAGCGTATAATAAACAATAACGGGGAGGATTTATCAACAGGAGTGTTGACAAAAGATTTAAATAACGAACCCTTTTGTTCACTGTACCTGGCTGGAAAAGTCTCAAGGCCTTGCGCACTAATGCTTTTGCGCCCACTACAGGCGTATTTGTTTCGCAACGTGCACGTAAAAGCATGGCGAGGTATTTACAAACTAGCCACACTGAGGTGAAAGTGCAGACTGCCTGTAGATGAAGCTAAAAATGTCAATGTCAAATTGCACTGTTCAGTGTCATGCATATGCATTCACGGGAGGGTCAAGTGGGAGTTTCCCATAAAGAGATGGGAGCGGATGCGTAAAGTGCGCCTAATTATGTATTCCGCAGTATGCACAAAAACCGCCCGTGGAAGCGCGCCTTCATTTAGTTGTGAAAATTCTCCGCCTTTTAAAAGCAGGTTTAAACCAGAATTCCTCCCATATGCCTCTTGGTGAAATGGCTGCAGTAATCCGAGCCAGATGGCGAGCTGAAAGGATTTTTGCAACAAGAATCACACTTTTTCAGTTGAGGGAACTCAAAATCATTAAGCATTACAGATTAAGCAACCATGCAATATTACAGTTACTGGAAGAAATCAGTGTTCACATTATATTCCAGCAAAATATTGACATTAGGATCATTTTCAAACATTCATAGCATCAGCAGTGGGAATATCGCAGTCTGCATTCAGCTGTATTATGCTTTGCTACATCGGGAGGGATGGAAGACCAGATCATCGTTTCATCCTGTGACTGGAAATCCTCCTCTATCTTGGTTCTTCTTGCTAAGGTTCTTTATCAATTGATTCTTTATCATCATGAAAAGGGCGGTCTTCCACTTCTGACTCCTCTTCCATTTCATTCATCATTTTCCTTCACTTCTGACCCTTCATCCATTCCACAGCAGGTGATTGTGGGGCTTCTTCAGATGAAGAGTAGCATGTGATCCTCATCATTTTTTCTCCTCATCATGTTCATCATTGTCCTCCTGGTCATTATTTTCCACAACATAGATCAAATTTAGCTCACAAGCCTCCTGTGCAGCGCTTCCTCCTCATTGTGCTCCCTAAAATGGGCAGTGCCCCAACACCTGAGAGAAAAGACCTGTTTTGGTGGCATAAGCATTGCTTGGTCCCACACATCAAACATCCAAAATGAAAGATGTTTTGGGCCATTTTAATTTAAACAATTAAAATAATCCAGACTCGCTATTATGCATGTTCAGGACAAACGTTTTGAAACCAGGCTACTTTAATGCATTAATCTATGCGATTAATGTTGGCTAGATTAATGGAACAAAATATTTTAACGTAGTTCCCGGGACCGGAAGTAAACCGGAAGTTGACCACGGAAACGAAACGGCCACTAGCTGCAGTCAGTCCGCCAATGACGGGTTGTATATTTACTGATTTATTTCGACAAAAGCGCTTCAATCTGATCCATTCTCTTGTAAAAAATCTTCACTTTAATATTGGCGGTACTGTAAAACCGCTATAAAACCGGAAATTTAAGACTCCGGAAACGGTGTAGTTAGCAGACCAATCACAGCCTTGCGGGCTGAGCGAGGCTTGCGTAGCTCTTGACGCTAGTCAAGAAAAATTGGTTCGACGCATGCAAGAAGGGGTGAAAAGGCACGCTAGGGGCTCTTGCGTGCGTGTCCCTGCGCCTCTCTGAATACTCAGAAGCATAAACTAGGCTTAAGTCGAACAGACGTCTCTGCCTGCATCATGTGACTGACAACAACTGCCGGCGCTGCTGGCTGCTCTTTCCTCTACGTCAGCTCGGCTCTTTTTTATTTTTGCTCCGCGTGCATCTCCGCAACCCATCGAGTGACGCAATAATTACGCAACACAACGAATCGATAATGAAATTTGTTGCCAACACTTTTAATAATCGATTTTTATCGATTTGTTGTTGCAGCCCTAAAAATGATTACTCATTATTTTTAAGATTTTTTAAGAAGATTTTTAAGAAGTCTTTAGAAGAAAAACAAACATCCAATATAAAAAACACTGTAACAACAACAACATTCATTAATCACAATTAATCGAGATTATTGAATTTCAAAACGTGCGATTAATTAGTTAATTTTTTATTGACAGCCCTAGTTATTATTAGTGCTGGGAAATAATTACAATTTAGAATCTCATGATTTGCATGAATATAAATCTCAACTTAAACATTATTTATTTGAACAATGAATACAATCAAATAAAGTGTAAATCCAAAGCTATTGGCCACTGCCAGGTCATAAACATTTTATCTAGTTTAGATGCATCATCCCAAACAGATATCAAATTAATTGTTATAATCTTTCTAAAGCTGTGGCATTGGGAATATCTGCATACTCCAAGATATATGTCTGTCAACGATATTTGACGGTTTTATATGATTTACATGTTGTCTACTTACTGTGGACATCCGGTATGCTCTGTGTATCATATTCGTTATGCTCTGGAAAACAGACAATACAAAAGAAAGCATCCTTATTTAGCTGGTTTAATTACAACTCAAATGAAAATAAATGAGGTGAGGTTTACAATTTTGCAATTAAGTCACTACAATAAATAGCTCAGCAAATTGGGAGAATTCAGGTGGTTCTTAGCCTACTTTCCACATAAAATGGTAATCAGAAGCAGAAGCAGCGGTAGCACAATTTAAACTAAGGAGCTCAAGTCAACCAACTAATTAAGTTATGCTCTTTTTCTTTACAAATCTGAACAAAGACTCTGTTGTGAGCACCAGTGTTACATTTCTGCACAGAGATACTGCAGGATGACACCCTTCGAGCTTGGGGAGCCCGACGGACCCCAGCAGCACATACAGTCAAAAGAAAGCAAAAGAATGTCTGTGTGTGTTCTGGAACACAGTCATGCATTCTGAATTTAATCCAGGTGGTCACATAAATGTCTGGCTGTGACGAGTGGCTAGTACAGACCAATGCATTAGTTAACATGCATATTTATGGCCGCATTTCATAACTGCAACGCACAACTGGATTCACCGCACAAAGATACGACAAACCAAAGTTATAGTCTCCCTCCCTCTCCTCTGTCTTTGTCCCTCTCCCTGCTGGTTGTTTCATTCCAGGCGCCGGATGGGAGACATGTGACTGGATGATCACGATGCCTTCTGGGCAAAGCCAGCAAACCAGCTCGTTCTGTAAGCCGTCCCAAAATCCTCCAGGGTGACTCAGCGTAATGGGTACCAGGAGTCCATGCTGTCTCCGCATGATTCATTGATCTCCCTATGCTGTGATCTCACTTGGCCCACTATGTATTATAATGCATAAAACTGATATACGGTCTGCTTTAAGAGCACTTATTTTGTATGCTCTGCATTTACAACTAAATGGATTTATTTTCCCTCTGCAATTGGATTTTCAGCACCACAGACATTTGCGTTTGCGACCTGAGTATTTTGGCGATATTGCGTGAGTAGCTTCAAAAAGAGAACAAAAAGACAGGCTAAAAGCTTGAATAAAAGAATTTCAACAGCCAGCTGCAGAAACTGACACTTTATCTCCAGAGATACGGAAGGGAGCGTAGATGTCCCGAGCATCCGGCCGGTTAAGAACGTAACCTAACATTTAAAGGGGATCTGAATCCAGGCCTGAGATGCAAGTTTGTAACAGCTCTCGGCACAGCTGTGAAGGGCCAGAGTTGGGGAAAACAAGGATGATGGACACGATTAAGACTGCACATTTGGCAGCCTGTTGATGACGGCTTAATGTGTGGAAACAAGAAAGGAAATTTATTCTTGTGACTCAATGTTACAAAAATGAAGGGTCTTGGCAGCCGGGTGGTGTCTTGGGAAGGTGTTGGCCCACCAGCCTTTAAGAAGACATTTATTTTAAAGATAATACACAATTCAATTTTGTTCGTGATGGTTGGGAGCACTGTCTAATTTCCTACATATATTGGGTTGAGTGATTTGGATTACTGCAGTGGCTATGCCATTTAGTCGAATAGTTTCTTGACATTATCCCTTAAGAGCCTGCTATCTGTTGTTCAGAGTGATAATGGGAGTTTCACTTAGAAAAATACTTGAAGTAGGCCTATAGAGCAGAATGCAGCTGTTTAATCTCCTTGATGCCTTTCATTAGGGGTTTGTTGCAGCGAGTTTAGGTGTCCAATCTCAATGTCCCCTCTAAAACCTATGCCCTGAACCCTCTGGGACCGCATTGATGACACCTGGTAAGTGATTGAGATTGAGAGACTATAAGGGTTTGAAAGGGTGGAATATGAATAGCACAGTACTTTGCTCCTTGACTTGAATGTCTTCCATGCTATGTCCTCACAAGATGAATGCTAATTTTAAATAATGTTTTAACGTAACATCAAGAGCTTAATCCCATTCCCCATGGGCTCACCACCTGTGGAGGAAACCGATGGGGTCGGGTGCGCTGCTACAAGGGTGGCAGTGACAGTGGGGGGTCTAGACGGAACAGACCTGGGCGGCAGATGCTGGCTCTGGGGCCGTGGAACGTAACCTCTCTGGGGGGGAAGGAGCCGGAGCTTGCGCGGGAGGTTGAGCGTTATCAGTTGGATCTGGTGGGGCTTACCTCTACGCACAGCCTCGGCTCTGGAACCACACTCCTGGATAGGGGATGGACTCTATTCTACTCCGGAGTGGCCCATGGTGTGAGGCGCCAGGCGGGTGTGGGGATACTCATAAGTCCCCGGCCGAGTGCTGCTACATTGGAGTTTACCCCGGTGGACAAAAGGGTCGCCTCCCTACGCCTTTGGGTGGTGGGGGGGAAAACTCTGGCTGTTGTCTGTGCATATGCACCAAATAGCAGCTCAGAGTATTTGGCCTTTTTGGAGACCCTGAATGGAGTCCTGCATGGGGCTCCAGTAGGGGACTCCATAGTTCTACTGGGAGACTTCAATGCGCACGTGGGCGACGATGGAGATAACTGAAGAGGCGTGATTGGGAGGAATGGCCTCCCTGATCTGAACCCGAGCGGGTGTTTGTCACTGGACTTCGGTGCCAGTCACGGATTGTCCATAACAAACACTATGTTCGAACATAAGGTTCATTAGTGTACGTGGTACCAGAGCACCCTAGGCCAAAGATCAATGATCGATTTTGTAATCGTATCGTCTGATCTGAGGCCGCATGTTCTGGACACTCGGGTAAAGAGAGGGGCAGAGCTGTCAACTGATCACCATCTGGTTGTGAGCTGGGTCAGAGGATGGGGGAAGACTCGGGACAGACCCGGTAAACCCAAGCGTGTAGTGAGGGTGAACTGGGAACGTCTGGAGGAGGCCCCGGTCCAAAAGATTTTCAACTCACACCTCCGGCGGAGCTTCTCTCACATTCCTGTGGAGGTAGGGGACATTGAACCAGAGTGGTGTATGTATGGTGGACACCGGTGGTCAGGGAAGCCATCCGGCTGAAGAAGGAGGCCTTCCGGGTTATGATATCCGGTGGGACTCCGGAGGCAGTTGCAGTGTACCGACAGGCTCGAAGGGCAGCAGCCTCTGCAGTGATGGAGGCAAAGCAGTTGGCAGCAAGTATGGGAGGAGTTTGGGATGACTATGGAGAAGGACTTTCGGTTGGCACCAAAGTGTTTCTGGAAGACCATCCGGCACCTCAGGAGGGGGAAACGGGGAACCATCCAAGCTGTGTACAGTAAGGATGGGACCCTGTTAGCCGCGACTGAGGAGGTTATCGTGGAAGGAACACTTTGAGGAACTCCTGACTCCAGCTCCGAGCTGGAGGCGGAGGAGGGATCATCGTCAATTGGCCTGGTGGAGGTCACTGAGGTAGTCAAACAACTCTGCAGTGGCAAAGCCCCGGGGATTGATGAGATCTGTCCAGAGATGCTAAAAGCAATGAGTGTTGGGGGGGTTATCTTGGATGACACGCCTCTTCAACATTGCGTGGAAGTCTGGGACAGTGCCAAAAGAGTGGCAGACCGGGGTGGTGGTACCCCTCTTCAAAAAGGGGGACCAGATAGTGTGTGCCAATTACAGGGGTATCACACTACTCAGCCTCCCGGGTAAAGTCTACTCCAAGGTGCAGGAAAGGAGGGTTCGGCCGATAGTCGAACCAAGGATTGAAGAGGAACAATGCCGTTTTCGTCCTGGTCGTGGAACAACGGACCAGCTCTTCACTCTTTCCAGGATCATGGAGGTGGCTTGGGAGTATGCTCATCCAGTCTACACGTGTTTTGTGGACTTGGAGAAGGCGTATGACCGGGTCCCCTGAGAGAAACTGTGGGAGGTGCTGCGGGAGTACGGGGTGAGGAGGTCCTTGCTTGTACGCCCAAAGCGAGAGCTATGTTCGGGTGCTCTCGATCTACCGGTCAATCTTCGTTCCTACCCTCACCTATGGTCATGAAGGATGGATCATGACCGAAAGAACTAGGTCACGGGTACAACGTCCGAAATGGGTCTCCTCAGGAGAGTGGCTGGCATCCCTTAGGGATAGGGTGAGAAGCTCAGCCATTCGTGAGGAGCTCGGAGTAGAGCCGCTGCTCCTTTGCATTAAAAGGAGCCAGTTGAGGTGGTTTGAGCATCTGGTGAGGATGCCCCCTGGGCACCACCCTAGGGAGGTGTTCCAGGCACGGCCAGCTGGGAAGAGGCCCCGGGGAAGACCCAGGACTTGGTGGAGAGATTATATCTCTGCACTGGCCTGGGAACGCCTTGGGATCCCCCAGTCAGAGCGGTAGATGTGGCCCGGGAAAGGGAAGTTTGGGGTCCCCTGCTGGAGCTGTTTCCCCCGCGACCCGACCCTGAATAAGAGGTTGGAAATGGATGGATGGATCAAGAGCTTTCTTGACTAAATTAAATATTTGATGAATAGACTACTAAATATTCTTTATCCTGTTTGAAATGCATATACATTTTAAAATGACAGTAGGAACACACATGTGGCATCCTCTTTTTTACGTGTTCACAGGTTTTTATGTTGTTAACGTCACATTGCAATGATTGGTGGGGATTTACCTTGTGCAAAGCCAACATCTAATACTGACTTACAGAACGTGAACACAAAGGGCTCATGATGTCTGTAAGAGAGCCTCAGACACTTCGCGGTGTGACAGTGGGCAGAACTAAACCCTCACGGAGTTAACAGGAACGAGCCTCCAAGTCTGTAAGTGCATAAGAGGGTAGATTGGGATTGGGCCTGCGATTCACTTCAAACCCACAGTTCCCCCAAAGGACCTGCAGATAAATTAGTGGAACGGATGGAATCGGTTCAGGCCGCCACCATCAGAGTCACCTTAACTTGAGACCTGACATTGTACCACCTTTGCAACGTTTGATTTGCACTGCTTGACACCCCGTTTGATTTGCACCGCTTGACACCCCGGCAGAAATTCTCACTTGTCAGCTGCACTGAATAACCAGACTGTTGACCCCTGAAAAAGCTTCAGTCTCAACAGAGTCCAGTGTGACAGTGTTTGTGAAGAGAGGTTGTGTGAAGTCAGATTAGAACAATTAGAACATTCCACACCTGAAAACTTTTCCAAATCAAATTGGTTAACACTTTCTCACATTTGGTATGAAAAACTAGTCACACATCTATCTTAGCTTTAAAAACTCACCTTCTAGATCAGTCTGAGAGCAGCTGTGTTCCCCGCTCAACCTCTTGAAGAGTGAACGCATCACCTTGGCACTGCCGAATCTCTTAAAGCGACCACGGACATTTTCGTGGTACCAATCCAGGGTGCAAATCTTGAGAACTCTGTTAAAAAAGGGTTAGTCAAAACTGATACTGATTCCTAACTCAGATTGGTCACATTAAATGTTTGTATATGTTTATATGATGTATAGCTCTCGTAAATGTAAAGATGTAAAGATCTCTTCCAGACTTTGGCTGAGTTAAGGGTAAGGGCCTTTCGTGCTGGGCCACATCTGAGCAAACAGCATAATGGCTTCATATGAAGCTGGAGCGAGCTCCAAAAAACAGCATGGCTTACGCTATAAGCCACATTAACCATAACTACAAATATTCAGATCTTAGAGCTGCCATGGCCGACCAAGATATTTGTCCACTAGCCACTGAAAAGCTTATTGATGAAGTTCTTTCTTGCTCAAACCATTGAGTGTGTGTTTCCATTTACAAACCACTATGTGGAACTTTAAAATATAGAGTACCAGTAACTGTTCAATCCGGACAGTTTTTTGCCCTCAACACACTTCATAGCTGACTCATCAGTAGCTTTATGTCAGACGCCCAGGCTAAAATGGATACAGATGTATTCTACCAAACAGCATGGTGTAAAGGGGTATTATGGGGTAATTTTTATTTCACTCAAAGCCTGAAAACATTCATGGTTAATGTCAGCTCAGCGGATATAACCAGTGAAGACATGGACAAGGCAGCAAACCACAGAATTCCATCTAAATCAATCAATCCATCAACCTATCCATAAATACATAAGTGGGTAGGCTTGTGAAATAGATAAAAATCCTAGTATGATACAATACATTTTTAAAGTAAAACAACAACTGGAATATAGAACAATAGTTATTCAGATATATTTATAATCATATATGTATGCCTAGTCTATTTATATTAGGATTCATATATATATATATACACATATATATATATGAATTTCATATAAATATTTTCATATATATGAATAATTTTCATATAAATATAAATGTAATTTCATACATTTCATACGTTTATTCATGCATGTTCATGTTTATTCTGTATTCTCCAGTTTTCAGTGATCTTGACTGTTGAGAAGAGCTTCATCAACATTTCAGCTTTAAAGAAATTATCACAAAAGGCTGCATTATAATAGCTTATAATTGCACAATTTATAATATGTATGTAGACTACTATATCAAGTATTTGTTAATGCCTAAGAACTTTTAAGAAACTCTTTATTAAAGATCTGTAAACAAATCATAGATAAGAGAGCTAGAAATGAATACAACCGGTGAAAATTGTATTTATTGATTCGGAAATCTACTTTTAACCAATGGATATTTGTTATTACTTCCTACCTGGCCATGCGACAGGGATCACACACCCAGCCGAGCTCCTTTTTGTTGAACAGACTGCAGGACTTGCAGATGAAGAGCTGGCAGTCCAGACATTGGCGCTTGCTGTTGACCAGGAACTTGAAGGGCTGGAGACATCGAATACAGTGGGACTCAACCAGGCTATTCTGGTTACCCAGCAACTCCCTCTTGGTGTCTTCTTTTTCAATTTTAGTCTTTAAATCCCTAAAAATACAAAGCCCAGGCTGTCACTGACTTACAATAAAAGAGAAAACAATGTTTTATCAGGATATGGCATGAATTCAATTGCACTTCTCTAATAAGGATCTGGTCAGGTAAGTAGCACTGGTGTTGATAGAACAGGTGCACTAGAAGGGCAACAATGAGACAAAACTTGACTAGTTTTGCATGTGGAGGCCAATTGAAGCTTCTATTTCTTCTCTCCGACTGGTTTTCCACTACTGTTGGCTTTAGCTAGAAGCATTATCAATGCTGGGAGCATGAGGCCATTTCTTAACCCTACAGAAGTTGCACAGATTGTCCAACTCCTGCAGGACCCATGGATGTGCCATCTGACATGTCTCCTGCATGTTCTGCAGATTGTACTGGGACTGACATTTGACGTCTCTCCCAGTGCAATCTGCAGAACATGCAGGAGATTCCAGGAGACAGGTTAGTTACTCGAGGAGAGCAGCACAAATGAACTCCCCAAATACAGACAGTTAAATGCTACACCAGAGAGGAGAACACCCTGGACAACTGCAAGTCCACTATCAGCAGGACCTATCACGTGCTGTCCCTCGTCCATTGGGACACTCTGGCCATGCTTTAATCCATCTCATTCCTGCATACAGACTGAAATGAAAACTCTGTAAGCCTGTTGTCAGGAAATCAAAGCAGTGGACCACTAAGGCTAAGGAGGATCTCCAGGCGTGTCTGGACTGTACGGACTGGGATATTTTCCAGACTGCTACTAGTAATCTGGATGAGTACGCAGAGGGTGTGACGGCATACGTTTTTGTAGCTTTTGTAAAAACCGTTGTGTCCCAGTGTGCACAACAGGGTGTTACAACAATCACAAACCCTGGTTCACAGCTGAATTCGGCTACGGTTGTAAAAGTATCAGGTGTTTAGAAGTGAGGACAGGGACTTCAGGTTTGGCAAGACGGTCAGGGACGCCAGACGACTGCACTCAGAAAGGCTCCAGCATCAGTTCTCTGCTAACAACTCTGCATCTGACTAGAGAGGCCTCAGACAGATCACCAGCCACAAGCCCAAAGCCCCCTTTCTAATGCCGCTTTGAAAAACAGAGGAGGATCACTGAACCCATCCACAACCTTCACACCCCCCAGTCCCTCCACAAAAACACAAGGCCTCCCAACAACCCCCCACATACTCGATCACATCAACAAGCATGTCTCGCTTTCCCGGACCATCAGCACCGGTTCCCTGCAGGGCTGTTCTTCCCCCTCTGCTCTCTCCCTGTACACCGACAGCGACACCTCCAGTCACCAGTCCGCCAGGCTCCTAAAGTTTGACACTACCCTCATTGGACTCATCTCTGGTCATCTCATCTACAGGTTGGAGAACTGGTGAAGTGGTGCAGTCTAAACCTTTGTTTGCTGGAGGGTCTCAGGTGAAGTGGCCTCAAAGTTATATGAGTACTGGTTTTGTTGAAGCCTCATATTATACACAAAAGTACTAAACAGATGGCCTCGCTTCAGTCGTTGTAAAAGAAGAGAAAAGAGCTGGGGTTGTTTTGTTTTGGTTAACAGAGTGGTTGAGTTCTCACTGATTATGGGGCTGTGAGGAGTTATTTAGTGCTACACTTTACATTCACATTTCTACTTATTTTAGAAACATTTGGAGTAATTTTATTCTAATTGCAAAGAAAAAACTATTCCACCCTTTAATTAGCTTTCATTTAAAGCTACACTTCATCTTGTAGAAGAACCTCTGGAAAATTCTGTCTTAGGAATAAGTGAATTTACGCTGCATTGTTACATTTGAAAGTAAGTAATGAAAATGCAGCACTGGTGAAAATTACGAATGATCTTCTACTTGCATCGGACCAAAGACTCATCTCTTTTCTTGTCTTGCCGGACCTCAGTGCCGCATTTGATACCATAGACCATTGTATCCTGTTGCAGAGACTAGAACATTTAATTGGTATCAAAGGAACTGCACTCAGCTGGTTTAAACGGTGGGTATGAGTGAAATCTCACTAGCATACGGAAGGCATCTCAGTTACGCCGGAAGGTCAGAAGCAAAGAGGGCAGATTTTGAACAGCGAAAAACGCCAATCTTACGCCCTTGGCAATATTTACATACTTTTTACATACTGTTATGAAATATTGTAAAAGGAACCCTGTTGAATCCCCCTGCCCCTCTTTCTGCTGTTTTATAGAACTATGGACCACATGTTTAGACACGAGATGTCATTCACAGTCCCGCCATCTGTTCCACACTATTCCACAACAAACTGCTAAACCCGAATTCATAGACTAGAAATGTATTTGTTCAAAAGAAAACTCCCCCATTGAGTTGTTACGGGCACTACACTACCGACGTTTATGAGCTTGGTCTCTCTCTTCCCTCCCTTTTTATGCCGGAAAAGGAGAAGAACACAAAAAATTCCATTGAAGACCGTGTTAAATAAATGTTGTCCTCAAAATCCTCACTATTGCTCAGTATTTGATTGGGAGCAAGTACTGGAGAGCTTATGAGTGAGTTCAGGAATGTGTGCTTGCCAGCCAGACACACACAAAGATCAAATCAGCTGAGTGTTCCCATATGAGGTGATCTGTTTGCCGTGTCCATCCACATGAATCAAATCATCTTTGGTTTGGTTTAAACACACAAAGGCACTATGGGACAACAATATGGGAAAATACATAGTGGCTATAAATGTTAGAAGTATAACGTTGGGCGGGTTCTTCATTGACGGTCATAATTCTGTATGAATTAGCGGCAGATTTATCGGAGATTTGTCAATAAAGTGACCCATGTTTGATCCGTATCAGTGGGGACCTGTGGTTCAATCTATTTCATTGCGGGACATTAACAAGTGTTTTCTGAGGCTGATTTGACCTCCAATCAGGTGGAAGTTGAGTGGAGCTATGGAAATTATGTAATGTCACCAAGCTCATTTTAAATACAAGAAGGTGTAACCTTTTAAGCCTCTACGCTAATGGACCATTAGCCTGTGTGCTTGAAATGTTGTAATAAATGTAAAACATTAAGTGAAAAACTGTAGACTAGAAAAAAAAAAAGTAGCGATAAAGTCGTAGCTTGCATACGTCACCAGTTGTGTAGTTCTATCACTCTGTACATGCTAGGCTGTGCATTGGAGATACACATGTGTAAATCCTACATTAACTATTTGCCATTGGATGTTTCCCTCATTTGGCCGACTATCCTTTCTATCCTAGTCTTGTATTTGGTAGAATTGTAACTCTTTATTCAGGTATCCTTCATACAGTCCATATAAAGACCTTTATATTCAGGTGATGGGACCATCCGGGGCAAGGGGTGTGTATGGACTGTATGAAGGAGTTACACGAATAAAGAGAACTGAGTCCCTGCATGTACTCTTTCTTATGAAGATCAATTAAGCATACATAAATATTTATTTATTTACGTAACAATCTCTGCATTTTATATAATTCCTGAGTTATAAGGCCTTTACTGTCAAGCGCAGCAGGTTGCTATAGGCAACGGGAGTGACAGAGGAGAAATTCCCCTGTAGGCCAGACTTTCTCATTTCGGAGACCGCTCGGTTCATCCTTGTAGCAGGACCTGGCCCATGTCGACCATAAAGGCCGGGTCCTTTAAAGGAGGCAGGAGCTGAAACGGGACACAGCTCACGTGTTCTCTGCATAGATTTAAGTGTTCTACCCGTTTGAGATTTTGATACCTTATTGATACCTTATTTAAGATAAATAAATAAAGCGGCAGCGGTGGAGAGTTATCCACCTAAGCTTACTAATGGCTACTGTGTTGGACTCTCTGTGTCATTAAACAGCCACAAGGTGATCAGCCAAAGAACCAAAAGGTACTGTAACAACATATTAAAAGCTGTTTCAGGGGGGAATACTGCCCACATGAGTCCCAGCTGAAATATATGACCTAAAACACTATACTATTTTATACAGCAAACAAATCTTCCCATTTTGGACAATAGAGGCAGGATTAAAGTAAAACATATTCATTCAAATGTAAGCGGCATGACAGTAAATCAAAAAAGCGAATCCAGAGTAACACGAACCCTGAACTTGGGAAGCCACAAGCATCCAAAGGACGACTTGGTATATATACTGTTGGTATATTATGAAACCGATGTGCATTGAATAGAAATAAAACAAATACACATTATCTCTTTTTTAACATACCCAAGTCGGTCCTCCTCCTTCTTCCTCAAGTCAAAATCTCTCTGCACAACTTCCCAAATATGCTTGGCCTCCTCATCTGTGAGCTTGGAGAGATCCAGCTTGCTGCCTTTTGTGGCGGTAGCGAGCATCGCAGCGACGCTGATGCCTGCGAGCTGGCAGCCTGTTCTATGCTGGGACACGTTAGGGAAATAAAAAGAAAATGCAAAGAATTGTGAGCTACAAGGTGAAGAATTCAATGGTAATATTTAAAATGAAGTGCAGTGAAAACACTACCGTTTAAAAAAATAGGTGACTTAAATTAGTGTCACTTCCATTCTCTTTTTCAAACCATCAACCAGTGTTGTACTAGCCAACATTTAATGCAACAGTGGTTGCTGAAGTTCACATCTAGCCATGAGTGGTTTCCAGGTTGTCAGGTTTGACATATTCATACTACAAATCTGTGAAAAATGATCTAATCACATGTTCACACTCAAAAAAGGCCCATTTACATACATAGGTTATGTATTGCGTTGCAGAGATATCAACTGAAATGAGCATGCTAATCGGCTAGCCGATCCTGTCTAGTAGCTCAGCAGGCAATAGTGAGTCATTGAGGCATCCAGTCTGTCCCTAGGACCTCCCAATGGAGGAGGGATCACTTGTCGGTTAATGGCTCTGATGTTTGCCTCTCCCTCATGTCATACTAGTCCAACATGGTTGGACCAAAAAAAAGACATTAGATAAAAAAATTTTTTTTAGCTACTACCACGTGAATTTAATACAAAAAACAAACAGGGAAAGTGTATATGGGTATAGATGGATAACGTCAGCTACAGGCAGAAGCCACATCTAAACATTATAAGACCGGCTCTCCCTCTCCATTTGATTGATTTTGCATACTCTAACAACTGTTAGTTAGCAGTTGGCTTTAAATGTAACTTTACACTGTAAATTTAGACTAAACGGATTTAAGCAGAGCTGAAATGCTGCCCCCCTTTTTGTTAAGAGCATTTCACCTTCAATGGATGGGTTGAGAATTACGTGTCATGACTAAACTGGAAGCAATTATTTCCTTAGACGTGGGGACAAAATACATATTTTTATAAAAAAACGAATTATTGAACAATTGCAAGTGGTCAGTTCAGCAAAACAACTTAAATATGAAATAATTGTACACACTTAAATAAGCTGTTTTGGTCGCGCTTTGGTGGGGGAGTGAATCTTATGATACTTTTCAAATGTCTGCATGAGGTCCTTTCTTGTGTTTGCAAATCATTCGGTCATTTGCCAAGAAAACTGCTGCCAGTGTTTTCTCCTAACAAAACAGACCATAATAATAGAACTGTTCCTGGGTCAGTAATCTGGAGCGCAGGTTTAGATTAAGAGGAGCTTAAACTCTCTGCCACAGACATCTGTCTGGAGATTTTGGGAAGGTTTGACACAGTTCAACCATGACATTACTAAAGGAATTGGAATCGATTCTCTCAAATGGAGCAGCCCCAGATATTTCACATGGTCCAGGTTCATAATGTCATGTTTTACCAGAAGAGGTGATTCAACTCAAGCTGAAAGGAGAGATGTGCACACATTTATATCATTTATAGCTCTGATAAGTAGCCGTATCAGAAAATCTCAGATGACACAAGAGTCTAATGTAATTTCTGCTCATGCAATTGGGCACTAATGTTAAAAACAAGCAAGCAAATGTAACACAAAAACAAGTCTAATAGTAGAACATTGTACGTTCCCACAGTCAGATCGCTGTCCGTGTATTTGCTAAGCGGGTGTGAGCAACTATGTATCTTAATCTATTGAATTAAAGGACCAATGCAAATATGCACTTGCCATTTAGGTGTGTAAGGGGTAAACCTTAAAATAGTGTTGCAGTATTTCATCCCTCAGCTGAATCTTAATTGTAAAGTGTTTTTTCTTCAAATAATTGTCCCTCCATTAAATCACTTGTGGATGTCCCACAACTCAAGCAGTTCCCTTTTTGAAGGACTCCCTGTGTTTGGAAAAAGGAAGGTTCGAAGAGGTGCAGAGACACACAAACCTGGAACAGTTCCACTAGCAAGCAGACCAAACGCATTTGTTTTCTTACTTTATTATTTTGAGTTTTAAATGTTTAAATGTCTTTTAAGCTTAGTAGATTTTTAAAAGTTTAAAAGTTTCTTCAAAAGCTACTAGTTACATAAATGACTACTCTAACACATGTTGGAACCCTTTTGGACAAGAGTTTGGTCCGAGATGCAATGAGCCCACTGCTCTACACTGACAGCAGAAATTACAAAAATCTCTCAAAAGAACCACCAACTGGATTAATATCAATATGTCTGAGATACAAACACATGCAGCTACTTTTTTCTTCTCTTAACTTCATTTGAAGATCAGTGCATATGAATATGTCTTACCTTGGTGTGGACAGCGCAGCCTGCGGGTAGTATTTGCTCTGGAGGGCGGATCAGCGTGACTGCAGGGCAAACTAAGTAGCAGACAGCAATGCTGATCACATGTCTAGTTAACCAGGAGGAAGAAAGCTGGGAGACAGCCTCTCGCCGCCTTACTCAACTTCACTTCAAAAGGTCTGGCTGTGTGCTTAGACCCCCCCCCCCCCCCCCTTTGGCCTTATTAATTCGTGGTATCAAATGCATTGTGACTGCTATTCTTGATTTGTGTCAATGTTAGGAAACTATTTTAATTAAATAGTTAAATTAAATGAATCAGTTTAAATTCTATCATTTTGAGGATTTCACGGAGCAGTGATCAGGAGATTATGTAAAGGCCAGTTGGGCTCAGGTCCCAAGTCACATGTCAAGGGTCCCACAGTATGAGGGAGAGGCAAACATCATGTATCGCTTTATTAATCGACCTGTATTTCAAGAAAACCATTGGGATTATGTGCAATCATACAACAGCATCTTAGGAATGCGTTTATGTGTTTGGTGATAATGGCTGCGATGTTGGTTTAAGATCACCAAGTGGTACATTGTACTTGAGATTGCTATTTGCACAGTGGGTGGGTCAACCTTCTCCCTCTGACAGGGAATCAGCTTCAAACATTTACACAGGATATTACAACACGGAGGATGACGTGAATTCTTCCTATATGTCAAGATCATTATAATTACTGTGATCTTAAATGAAAGCAAGTAAGGATGCTCATCATAGAAGGAAACTACTTAATTTACAGAAGGTTTAAGATACCTGTTTTTCTTCATTCAATTATCTCATTCTCCTCTCCATAAACAAATGGATTAACTCCCATTTCCTCCTTGTAATATGAGCCATGTGACCAATCCAGCAGTCTAGTTTAGCCATATCATGGCCTTGTGGAGCAGCCAAACATACAGGAACAAAGTATGTGGGAGAGGTTAGTCACACCAAGCTTTTCCACACATTTTTAGTTAATCACATTTTTGTCTATATAGTGGTTACTTTTATTTAACCACAACAGGCTGAGCTGGTATTCAGGGCAGTGTTTGAAAACTTGTGGACATAATTTAATTTGTTCATCTCTCAGCTCAGAGTAATGTGTGCTTTGACCAATAAGCAGTGCTATCAGGCGGTAAAGAAGGCAGTGCTTTACATGGTAGTTCAGCAAGCGTCTAGCTGTGGGTGGGCAAGGGATGGCCTGGCTACTCAAAATTTTGCCGCACTGGTATACTGTATACATATACTGTATATATATATATATATATATATAGCCACCATAGTTTCAAGGTGAAGGAGATGTCTAATTGTAGAGGAGCATGGCCAGAGATAATAATAAGTAAGTAAGTATTCCAAAGATTTATCATAGGGTATGAGAATAGAAAAGAAAAAGAAGTATAGTAGTAATCAATTTGTGTCAAGGAGGAGTGGACATGTGGAAACCTTCAAGCTTATGTTTAAAAGCCTCCAAGGATCTACATATCCATTGTCTTTCATAAACACAGAGAAGAATTTGGACATTTTAGTTGGAGGAAATCCTAGAGGTTGGGCTGTCCGGGCTAGGGTGCAGTACAACTTTTAGATCCCTTCAAGGAACCGGTTTGTGTGTAGTTAGGTTTGTTAGGAAGGCCAGCAGTCTGTTAGCAAAGTCAACGTCATCCCAGTTCGTAGTGTATACGTTAACCAACAGGTATGTAGAACGGAGAGCCTGTCACTATCACATATTGATGGGCTTTTCAACCAAGGGCTTAAAGTTGTACAAAAAGAGGCCAGATGGCGGGTAATGTTAACAGCAAGGTACCTCAACCTGAACTAGTCCTCTGTTTTTAACAAGGCACACATTTTACTGTGTCACTGTAGTCCGGCAAGGCTTCCTCGACGTCGGTTACGCGCCGCCCGTGATCCTCCAGTGGGGCTTAGGCCTCATCAATCTCATTTTTAAGGTCACTCATCAGTATAGTGTGTTACTTTTCCAAATCCGCTCTGAGAAACTACGAGTCACCCGTAGCGTAAGCAGAGTTAGCCAGCTTGACTTTTGTTGTAAACAGCTACAACAAAAGTGTGGTGGCCTGTTCCTCTTTCTTTGTCCGCAGTTAGTGGCTCATTGGCTCTCAGATGGAAAGATGAAGCCGCATGGGCAGAAGTATCAATGTGCTTTCTAAATTAACTGATGTAAATGTGACAACGCATTGGGAGGCTCCCTTAACCACGTGTATCTCCTTCGCATGCTAACCGGAAGTCCTTATTATGCCCATTATTAACAAATGTATCAATGCCACAAGATATTGTGAGGGAATGCAAAATGTATTCCATTTGCAAAAGTAGTTTGCCCTTACAGGGCTCTGTAAGGGTCGCATGTAAAGGAAACCTTTGACCAGCTGGTTTTACGGGTGACACACAGTGCAATGCCAGTGGCTGCAATCCATTCAGCGGAAAAAGATTCTTTTGACATAATGATCAGTGAAGTGAAGATTGTAGAGATGGGGATCTCGTGTGACAGAAGGTTTAGGTCAGACCTAGTTTCCAAAGTGCAACCAAACAATTAGGTAAACACCCCTCAGTATGTTGTTTTAGAGTCTCCTCATCTAGCTTGATTATTTCCTCGTTGTGTGATCTATTACGTTCTATTACGTTCACACGGACCTGCTGATTATCTCCTCTTATTTTATCTTTGGAGTTTTGGCCCTCCTCCGCAGTAATCTCAGGAAAACAGAAGGAAGGCGTCTTGTCAACGCTGCTGTGATGAAGCCATAACAGCCGATTCCTGAATCCAAAAAGCAACAAAAAAAACGACTGAAAATATTCTTTAACTGACTCATTCCAAGATTTGGGATTAAGTAGTAAATAGTAGCATTAAGTAATTAATTAGTAATAGAAGGAGGCTGCTTCCAACAATGTTGGGTGATAAGGTTATGGTCACTGACATTTTTGACTTGAATTCCACATATAAGTGAAGTAGGTCTGTGGAAAGAATACAAATAAACTTCCTATTCAAAGGTTCTATGAAAGTCCTATGATGGGGAGCCAACAATTTAATGGGAATCCCGCATTCTAAAGCTTTATGCTAGCTAAATTTTCTCTGGCACTGCTGGCCAGCTATACTTTCCTTGTTTATGCGAAAACTGTTTGGACCAAACTATAAAATGTTATTGTAAAGAGTACAGCATTACAGGAGACACGGCTATTTTACACTAAATTCTACATAGGTTTAGCATTATCAGCTCCACGGCCAACCCGCAGAAAGCGCTCGCTGTGATACTTCAGTTTACGTTGTATTTACGACCTTACGTTGTATTTGCCACAGGGCAGCCCGTTGACCACCCATTGTGCCTCCACCAGCGAACTCTAGGACAATGGTCGCCTACAGGTATTTATACAGAGCAGCAAAGCTGTGAAGGTTCGTGTCCACGCCCGTGGGAGTTGAATGTAACTCGGATTTTGAATTCTCAGTCAGTCAATATCAGTTGTGGTGCTATCAAGTATTACATGCATGCATTCCTGTTGATTACATTACATTAAATACAATCATAGCTGTACATTGGCGTTATTCTATTGGTTACAGTTTCACAATTACAGTGGTTTTACAATATTCTCATTACTTTATTGATTCCAGAATCATGGCTGTATTCTAGTGTACACTAAATGCATTTTATTAATTTTTGAACCGGGTCGTCAGTCTATTTCTAAAATCTTACAGTTTCCAGGCCCAGGCTTAGTCATTTTCAGCTTCCGCGACAGGCAGTGTGCACTTTTCCCTCAGTGCGGTCTTGTTTGTAAAGGCTGGCGTCTGCATCTTTACGCACCGTCGTGTCAACGCACTCGTTTCAATTCATGGTTCTAAAAGTCTTGTATGTGTTGCAGAGCAAATCACCGCCAGAACAACAGGTGGAGTAACGTGTTTCTGTTGAAGACGACCTAGAGAGTCACTTCTTTGTGTGTGGAAGTCGTTGGTTGGTTTATTTATTTATCATAGACTTTATTGGTCCGTGCATTGACACTGCTGCTTTTCATCGAGGTTACATTTGTCCCGTATTTTCCTCCACAACTTTGTTCCCCTCGACCGGCATACCGGCGTTTGTGGAGATCTCCCTCCATGAATCAGAGGCCATCCGCGCGTTCTTATAGTCCACCATTGACGGCTTGTATAAGCGGTCATATTTACGCATTTCTTCAGACAAAAGCTCTTCAATCTGATCCGTTCTTTCGTAAACAATCTTCGTTTTAATATTGGCGGTATCGGGCTATGAAAACGGAAATGTGAGACTCCGTGTTAGCGGACCAATCACAGCCTTGTGCGCTGCGGGAGGCTTGTGTAGCTTTTGACGCAAGCCTAGAAAAATGAGGCGATGCACGCAAGTAGGTGTGAAAAGGCACGCAAGGGACACGCAAGGGGGTCTTGCGTCTCTCTGAAAACGCAGAAGCATAAAGTAGGCTTAAATCCCTCTGCATGCTTTTACATGCATGTTGCACAACAAATACCCCTAAAGTGGCCACCCGTCCCTTAAAATTCGTAATTGTTCCGTAGTTGAAAATCAAATAGCGCGTCCCGTTTTGAACCAATAGAAAAATGAAACGTAAGTTCCCTCCACAGAGCAGCAACAAAATATAATGCATACATTTAAAAGAGAGGCTCACCTCAAAAGATCTACAGAAGTTTAAGTGCACACTTTATTTACTATATTTTCTAAAAGGAATCCTCCCTGAACATATTCACTACTGTATCTGTTCCAGGCTGGCTAGTGTCAGGTCGACCAGATCTCTTCTCAGGGTGTCTAGCTTTCTTGAAAAGGCAATCTTCAAATCAAATCAAAATGATTTTGTAAGTAAATCTTTCAGGAAATCGATCTCTCCTCCTCCATCAGCTATTTTTGGGGAACAGTGTTGTTGGTCCCCCTTTTTTGCCAGTGCATGAAAGTTTGGAGTCAGCTTTGTTGTGGCAATTCTCAAGACAGATCTGAGGTGTTCATCCGTTAACTGGGATCTGTGGCGTGATTTGTTGGTTTCCATCACGCTGAACGTCTGCTCATACACGTAAGTAGAGCCAAACAACACCAGCATCCTCTGAGCCATCC